TATTAATATAAATTTTTTGAAATTTCATAAGCAATTTATTCAAAAGTTTTGGAAATATTTAATAATTCTTCTCTAAATTTAGTTGACTATATTCGCTTGGTTTGAAACCATTAAATGTTATTCTTTTGGTTCCGTCAGATAGAACATAATCAACTTACACAAATCCTGATCTTGATTGTCCCGAATTCATGGCTAAATTATCGGGACAAACATTATTAACTCACATATTATCTAAATAGTTTTTATAAATTGCGACACGATCTTCAAATCAATTAAAGCTTTAATTTTTTTCTTGTGTAAAACTTTTAGTTTTTTGTCTCTTATTATGCCCTTGGAATCAATATCAAATTTTCAGATTGTTAAAATATGTACACATAACTCTAGCTTTTAAACAAAGGATCTATGTCCACTTGCAAAGCTAACAACTTGTTATACAATTTTGGAAATGCATATACTTGTGATTCATCAAAAGCATTCTACAATTAGAATTCAGTAAGTAATGCACTTAGTATTCAGGTTCATCCGTAGTAAATTTGAAATCCGCACAAGCTAATAGATATTAATCGCATACTTAAATGGAATTGTGCTTAAGTTAACCAGACATCATTGTTGTCAATACATAAAATTACAGAGTGAAAAATATTGCATGGAGTTGCAGTTGCATATAGATTTCAAATAGGTAGACTAAATGAAAATAGGCGCGTGATGATCATTAAAACATTTTCTGGTCCATTTATACATGGATTACTGTTTTCAAGATTTGATTGTGAGGATATTAAAAACAGTAACAAATCATTCTGCTTCTGAGAATATATGTATCTATATATATATATAGGCATTGTAATTTTTGCTTAAACTTAAAATATAGAGTGCAGGCTAGAGCATTTACAATTCGCTTCTTATGCAGACATAAATGCTCAATCAATTTCAAATAATGTTGGCGTTGGCAAATATATATCCAATTCATTTCACTCTTTTTTTTACAAATAATTCATATATTCTACCACTTTTAAGCTGGATAATATATAAATGTTAGCGTTTAGAAATACTGCTAACAATTTTGGAAGAAATTAATTGATTTATTGAAAATTGAGTCATTAGCGCAAAGGATCAATGGTATTGGCAATTTTTCTGAGAAATTGTGCTGCGTGGGATTGTTAATAATTTTATTGTTTTCTATTCTATATACTTAAAGAATTAAGCTATGCACAAATATAAGTCAATCAAACCTAAATCTTTATAGTAGGTATTTTTTACTAAGAATTATATGTAACCATTTTTAAATTATAGAATAAAACTCAAAATATAATAATAGAAATTCATTATTTTTTAATATTTTTCATGAATTGCATTTATCATCATCTAAATCCAATATCATCGATATGTATAGCTCCTCACAAATGTTAATGTTAAAGGAAACTGTGCACTGAATGCCTTAATGAGCATGGAATTGAAATAAAATATGCCATTCCTATTAATACATTTCAAGAAATTCTTACTAAGAAATTAAAGGAATGCACGCTTGAAGAAGCATCTGGAATAACAGAATATAATTTTAAATTGTTACTGTCTCAAGCAGAAAGTATGATGAAGAAAATGTAGGAAAAATTATCTTAATTAATAAAATAAACTTACGATTTGATTTAATAGAAAAATAAATCGGAATCAAATCTTTTCAACCGAAATACTAATATAGCTGAATCAACCTGTTCTGATTTGGAACAAATAATCTCAATTTTAGAAGGGGAAAAAATAAATGATTGGGTAGAAGAGAAAAATTCTCAACTGAATAAATTGCACGAAAATTAGATGTGGTGGGAATATGAATTTAAGTCTTTTCAGGAAAAGTTGAAATAAGAGATAATGATTTGTATTCAACCAATTTATGATATAATGTATGTTTATGAGAGAAAGGAAGATTTATATTAGGTATTGAATTCGATAAAAAATATTGATAATTCATTCTTCAATGAGATATTGAAAAAGTTGAGGAAAGACAAAGTGATAGATTGTCTTGAATATCTTAAAAATAAGTGGGATAAGCAATAACCCAAGTATAAATTTATGAATGACATTCTCAAAAATATTATGGAAATAGACCTTAATAAGAAGAACTATTCCAGGTAAGATTTTGAATAACAAAGAAAGGATTTGATTGAATAAATATCTAAAGATAAAAAATAGCACATTACTGAATTTTTGAAATTCCTTGTTCATATGACAGCTATAGATTAAAAATATATCTAATGTGGATCCAATTCCTTTAATTTATTAGTTGAAATGAAGGCTGATTTGAGGGAATAAATCTTTGAAAATATAAGGATTAGAGATACTTCATTAGTTGGCGGAAATTTCGCTAGATGTAATTTTAATGGATCAGAATTTGATAATGTTGACATAAGTGGAATAAACTTGAGTGGCGCTCTGTTGTCCAATTGTAAATGGAAAAATATCAAAATACATGAGTTAAATAAATTAGTTGGTCATATTGAAACAGTTACATCAGTCTGCTTCTCCCCTGATGGTACTACATTAGCATCTGGTAGTAAAGATTGCTTCATCCGTTTATGGGATGTTAAGACAGGATAATAAAAAGCCAAATTAGATAGTAACTAAATGGCGGTTTATTCAGTCAATTTCTCTCCTGATGGTACTACATTAGCATCTGGTAATTAAGAATATTCTGTCTGTTTATGGAAAGTTAAGACAGGATAGTAAATAGCCAAATTAAATGGTCATACTTGTTCAGTTCGATCAGTCGTTTTTTCTCCTGATGGTACTATATTAGCATCTGGTTCTGAAGATGGATTAATTCTTTTATGGGATGTAATGACAAAATAATAGCAAGCTAAATTAGATTGCTCACAAGCCAAATTGGATGGCTTTTCATGTGGATTTTCATCTGTTTGCTTTTCTCATGATGGTATAACATTAGCATCAGGTAGTTTTGATAGCTCTATCAGTTTATGGGATGTTAAGACAGGAAAGTAAATAGCAAAATTAAATGGTCATGCTGGATAAGTTTATTCAGTCGTTTTTTCTCCTGATGGGGCTACATTAGCATCTGGTAGTTATGATAAATCTATCCGATTATGGGATGTTAAGACAGGGTAATAAACAGCCAAATTACGCAGTTATTCAGATTCAGTTCTATCGCTCTGTTTCTCTCCTGATGGAAATACATTAGCATCTGGTAGTTATGATAACTCTATCCAATTATGGGATGTTAAGTCAGGATAGTAAAAGGTGAAATTGGATGGTCACACTAGCCGAGTTCATTCAGTCTGTTTCTCTCCAGATGGGACTACATTAGCATCTAGTAGCTAAGATGGCTCTATCCGTTTATGGGATTTTAAGGTAGGAGAATAAAAGCCCAAATTGGATGGCCATTCAGGTGGAATTTTATCAATCTCTCTCTCTCCTGATGGTACTACATTAGCATCTTGTAGTTATGATAGGTCTATTCGTTTATGGGAAATTATGACAGGACAATAAAAAGCTAAATTAATTGGTCACAATGGTCATGTTTATTCAGTATGCTACTCTCCTGATGGTACTTTATTAGCATCTGGTAGCGAAGATCAGTCTATCCGTTTATGGGATATTAACAAAGGCTAATAAAAATTCAAATTATAATGTTATTTAGCTTAAGTTATTTCATTCTCTTTCTCTCCTAATGGTTCTAGATTAGTATCTTGCAGTGATTATAGGTCTATCAATTTATGGGATGTTAATACAGGATAATTAAAAGATAAAATTAGCTTTGGTATGATGGGTTCAGTTTATTCTCTCTGTTTCTCACCTGATTCTACAATATTAGCAATTGGTAGTAATGATGGTATCATTTTGATAGATACTTAGAGAAGAAAATAAAAATCTAAATTTATAAAGCATTCAAATAGTATTCTATCGATTTGTTTCTCTCCTGATGGTGCTACATTAGCGTCTGGTAGTTAGGATAAATCTATCTATTTATGGGATTTTAAGTCAAGATAATAAAAAGCCAAATTAGATGGTCATTCAAGTAAAATTCTCTCAGTTTAATTCTCCCCTGATGGTACTAAATTAGCATCTGGTAGTGAAGATAGCTCTATCCATTTATGGGATGTTAGGACAGGATAATAAAAAGCTAAATTAGATGGCCATTCAAGTGGAATTACATCAGTTTGTTTCTCTCCTGATGGTAATTCATTAGCATCTGGTAGTTTTGATAAATCTATCCGCTTATGGGATGTTAAAGAAATTCTAATTCAAGATAATTTTTCTAAAGACCTTCTCATTAAACTCCTTTCAAAGTTACAAAATGGTATTTAATGTTATAACTCTTTAGATCGAACTATACTCCGAATATGTTAAAATCCTTTATTGGAAGTAGAAGGAGCCTAAATCTTCAATGCGGAATTTATAAATTATGGAGGGATAGATTTGCAATATTTGTTCAAATCCAAAGGAAGCTGCATTTTAGAAAGCAAATTTGAAGTGCAAAAAAACTTAAATTGATTATTTATAACAATAAGCATCGCAAATATTCAATATCACTTCAATTTTCCTATATTTTTCGAAGCAAAACTAATAATCTTCATTATACTATTTGATATAAATAATAAGATGATGTATCATAAATATTGATCATCAAGAATCTCAACTTGAGATGTTAGATATTGATCAAAAGTTATAATTGATTTCATTTATCTTTAAAAGTTCTACTGATATTCAGTGATAAAATTAATCAAATGAAAAAATTTATAAATAATGCCAAAGGAAATATTAACTTCATCTATGTTCTCTTTTTATATGAGCTAAGGAAACAAGGGATACATATACATCAAAATTTATATTGTTAGAACAGTAAGATTAGACGCACAGAATATTAATTCTCTCTAAATTTTACTTAGATTAATAATAATTCCACATAGTGCTTTTGGCAAAAAGCACAAATTAATAAATCTACTAAAGTTTTCTTTTTATCATTTTTAGAGAAGGGTATTCAATTCTATTTTTTTTGCAGACTTTAGGTTTTCCCCCTCATAATTGTTATTATTATCATATTATATGCATTTCTCTATATGATATTGTCTTTATTTTCTCTTGAAATACTTTATTCACAACCAACACAAATAACCATACAGAAAGTTCAACAGAAATCAACACTAAAGGTTTTTCACAATTTCAAGTTGGAAAATAGAATTCTTGCAAGTTTACAATAGGGATTGTGCTAGATTATTGTGGAAATTATTGATGATAAATCGATGATGAGAGCCAGAATCTTTAATTTTTTACAATTCTCTGTTAGTTCTATAAGTTTAATTCACTTTTGATAGTGATGATAATTCTATCTCTCTATGGAATGCAAGATAGATAAGTAAAAGACAATTCATATAGTTATTTTAGTTATGTTCAATCACTCTTTCCTTTCTAATTGTCAAACGAAAGGGAAATTCTACAATCAAACTACATTTACTAAGAACTTCTTTTTATTGTTAAATAAATATATTTTTGTCTAACCTTGTTAGAAAATAGTATTTATATTTGTAAAAAAAGGTAATGCACTACAAAAAAGAGTAAGT